TTGTCTGTGACATCCAGTAATAAAAGCACTGAGGTGGAATCGGAATCTGTGGTAAGCGGAAGATCATTTACCACTTTAGTAAGTGCAGTTTCGGTGGAGTGACCCTGAAAGCAGATTAAAAGGCTCAGACAAATGACAAGGTTAAACCACAGCATTCTTAAAGCTAGTGGGGACAGTGCCAGTGTTAAGTCATATATTAAGAATTGATTAGAAATGGCCAGAGATCTTTATTTGTTAAGGGTCAAGGAGGCCAGTGGTTGGTTTAGAAGCTAATACCAGCTTAGACAACAACATTAAAAGTAAAAAAACTCCAGTTTTGATTAATGCTCAAGAGCATGTAGTTTTTCAATAAACCATGATGTAGACTGTCTTGTGAGACTAGTAGAGTAAACTTAGTTGTCCCTGAGGGGAAATTTGTCTTGGGCACAGTGCTACAATCTGTTGCTTTACAAAAAAAAAACATTACAAAACAATGAAAGAGGCATTTGACTACAGAAAAGGCTGTTTAAGTCAGTGGTACACTTTGACGGCCGCTGCAGTGAAAGGAGCCAGGATCACAAGTAGTCACTAACCAGAGTGATTGCTTGTGGTTAAAGTCAATGTGGCAAGTGGTAAATACATAAGCACCGACATAACAAGGACACGCTAGAGTTGCTTAAAATTTAATGCGAAAGTTATCTCACAACCTCTATCTCACGTGATAGAATCGAGTCAAAGCTGTTACCACTGCAGTGAGCAGGTTCAGGAACAAACTGAGTGAAACCGCATCAAGTATCAAGAAGTGCCGAAGTGGCTATACTAAGAGGACTGAAGGCAAGTTTGGAGATTCTCGGGGCAGATGGTCTAAAGAAGGCGGAATGATCTGTTTCTCTGCATAAAGCAATTCATATTGATGGAGATGGTGTTAATATAAGAGCCTTAAATGAGTTGATTTTAATAAAGTTAGAGGTGAAATTGAAAATAGACAGATTATGGAAACCCCTTCACCTCTAGTAGCCTGAGTAGCATGGGCATTGGTAGAGTCACGTGGTAGACAGTTATCTGATTTTAATTAAAAACAAATTTGATAGTAATGTTGGGACTGAAGAAGTACGTATTCATTGGAACTCATTTAGTTAGTAGAACATTTTGGTTTCCTGTGCACACGGCAGTGTGGGGACACAATTCTCACTAATGTAGGACTTCATCAGGTGCTTTGTGGGATACTTCACCGCTGCCAGTGGTGGGGACGATAATTGGATTTTTGTGATTTATACATTTAGGAAAAGAGAACTTATGAGTAACATGGCGGGGGAGTGAGACAGTCTCAACGAAGACCGGGCTATCAGTCTGATAGTCTACACTGTGACGATTTCCCTGGCTGAACATATTAACTAAACTTAAAACCACTAAAAAGTTTTTTTTTGTTTTATGTGAGCAGTGTCATGCACAAAATGTCAGATGGTAAACAAAAGAGCTTAAGGAAAATATGTCTCCACATGTGTGAGGGGGAGTCTTAAAAAGATAAAGAGAGAATATTTGTGTTTAGCTATGCTGATCACCGGTGCCCTTCAAAACGTCCGAGTGCTCCGAGTGATTAGAAAGGCTGCAGATAAAGACAACACCCTGATGAAAGGAGGAGTGAGGGAGTAGCAGGAGGAGAAACTTGGCGATTGACATACAATTTAAGAGTTTGGGCAGAAGGAAAAATGAGAGAGGTGTGGATAAACGATGGCATGAAGGGGGTAAAGGAGAGGAAAAGAGGTGGCCAACAAAGTCCCATAATTCCCAGTGTGTATTACGTTTAAAGAAAAAACATTTTATTGTAATTATTCATATTGTTGCATAGTGGAGACTGGAGTATGATACATCCTGGTTCAGATGAGTTAACAAATTATAAATGACAGTAATGCAATGAGTAGAATGAATATGGAATATATGAGAGTCATTCTAAAATTAAATAGAAATAATTCAATATAATAAATATACAGCATTATCATAATGGCTCTTCACATTGTCCAGTCATGAGTTCTGGATCTCCATTGTTGGGGGGGATTTGATGTCTCCCATATTAAAACATGTACTTTGTTAGGGCATTTTCAACTCAATTCAGATAAAAGCTCTAGCCAAATTCATTGAAATTGAAATGACATTAGAGAAAAACAAACTGTATTAGTATAATGAAATCACGTCGCAGTTTTCATTCAAATTTTAGAGACTGTCATGCTTCAGTTTTGAACTAATTGAAGGATTACATTGTCCTCTATCTAATTATTTTGCTAGGGAGGTTCAGTAATCCCACTGGATGAGCTCCAGTGCCCGAAAAGCTGACATTAGGCTTTTTCACGTGACAGCAACAAAATGGATGTACATTTGTGAATTTTAAGATAAAATGGTAAAAACAATGAATTAATCATGTTAAAAGGAACTTTCATTAAGCAAAAATAGAAGAAAAAGGTTCCGCTGTCACTGTTGCTTGAGTGGGTGGGCGATTGTGTGTGCATATGTGTTTTTGTGTGTGTATGTGTGTTCATGTGTGTAGGTGTGAGAATGTGTGTGTGGTGATGGGTGGAGAACCAGGTAAATTAATATAACAGATGGTTTGAGGTTTATGGCAAGAAATGATTGTGAAAGGTCATAAGATAGAGTTTGACATTTACCAAGACATACATCTTATTGCTAGTAATGCACACACACACACACACACACTGTTACAGCCACGCACACAAAGGATGGCAGGTTTCAGCGTCCACCCTCAACAAGTTCTTGACAGCAGAGTGGGGAGGATGGGAAGCCAGAGACGTTTGCTGTTTGTCTGCTGTACCTTCCATCGAACATTACTTATCAGGATTTGCACAAGCATTTCAAGATCTGCAGCTTAAGATACATCACTCTCTCACTCTCTCTCTCACTCACACACACACACATACACAAACACACACATTGGCTGGCACAGCTCCAACTTCATTACAACAGCACTCTGGCAGGCTGATTGAGTGATCAAAGCTAATCGCATTTAATCATATCTAATCATATGTAATAACCAACACTGAGTGCTCAGGCATGACAAGGCTCTCCACTCTCTCTCCATCTCTTCCTTTTCCTCTCCTCTCCTCCCTCGCTCCTTGACCCCTTCTCACTCCCTCACTAACAACTCCTCCTCCCTGCTTCTCTGCCTCCCGTTCCTTTGTCTTCCATGTTTGCTCTCAGTCAAAAACAAGGCTGAACATGAGTGAGAGACAGAGGAGAAAGGGGTGGAAGGAAGGTGTGAAAAGAGGATAATGATAAAAGAGAGGGTGACAGATGGACACCCTCGGTGTAACATCGAGCCCCCCAGCAGGCACAGCTCATTGTACCTTTGTGGTATAGTATGCTTAAGAAAGGAAAAAGATGTTCTTCCTTCCGGCTCGGCTGTGTGACTAACAGCTTTCTCAGAACAACTGGAAGAGGATGATCTGGCAGTCACAGGCGATACTTTAAACATAACCGTCTTCTTTCCACTTTATATTCTGTACACAGTTTTAAAAGCTGCAGCATCTTAAGCCTCTGCGATTTCTTCCAGCGTTTTTCTATGCTTTGATCAGATTTTGAAGATTCTCTCTTAAGACTGCGGTTACATGTAATAATAATGCAGTGTGATAACTGGAACTGGTAGGGATTTAAGTAGACTGCACACAGAGTGTAAATATTCTCATGGTATGAATTCATAGCTGTCACCTGGGATGTTACGAGCACTCATCAGATAGAGTTGGTTGTGGTTGTGAGACGCTGCAACTCTGTATGTCTGTTTCTAACGTTTGTGAAAGGTGAGAATGTAAAAACCTCGAGGCACGAACTCAATCTTGCATGACCTTAAAATAAAACCTCTCCTGTTATCACAGATCAGCGCTCCTGTTTTTCCCATTCCTCTGCTTGTCTACCCTGTTTTCAGACCTAATCTTTATTAAAGTAGAAGGTTGTTTTGAGAGGACCAAAAAGTGCACTTGAAAACAAACTGCTCTCACCTTGCAGTTATATTGCCCCTTTTAAGGTGTTAGTATGCGTCAAACAAAGTGCTTCTCTAATAGTCACACATGGCATCTGAAACACCGCCCCCCGACACCTTTCTAACATTGGAAATTGGGAGGGGCTGGGGGGTTTTCTTCTTTCCAAAACCAACAATTGGACAAGCACTTTATGTAGCAATTGGCCCAGTCTTTTCATGTTTACAACATCATCGTGCATCACCTCCACTTGTATTATTCATCGCATTGTGCCCCTCTCTTCTTTGCAGCCAGCTTTTTGCCCCACCTTCCAGTGTGGCCACTATGGATACGTTCATTTTAAGCATTCACCAGACTTGAAATTACTTCCTTCTGGTTTGTTTCAGCTCTGATTAGATCCTTCATGCCTGTCTGTCTTTAGTATGTTTTATCAAAGTCAAAAGAGATAAAAATAGATTGCCTCTTGTTAAATATGATCAGACTAATCAGAGGTAGACAGCAATTAAAATAACCAGCACTCTCTCCTCCAAGTTAAGTGCTTCTAGCCAATCTTCAAAGAATGCATCAATGATAAGAAAGTAAATATCTGTTATGTAATTTGTGAAACATGAGATTTCTGCTGGTACTACCACCATACGCCAATCCATTTCACAAATGTTCAGCTGCTTCTTGCCAGCAAACACTACAGATAAATTGTCAAGTGCTTGGTTTTCACAGTGCCAAAATGAAACAAAAGCATTGAGTGTCCTGAAGAGCAAAACTAACTCTAGTAATCCCTGACGATGTAGTACCGTACTTGTGCCTCCAATAACCACAGCCTGCTATGCATTTACCGAGTGTGACACAGTTTAAATATTGTTTCAGAGGCCTTTGCAGCATGCCAAGCTAAATATCTGGGGAAGAGCTATTGCAACATAAACCTTGTACCCACCAAAAAAAGAAATTATTGCCAAGGCCTCAGGTTTTTGGAGCCACACATTGAGATCATAAACAAACAACCAAACAGACATTAGGGCATCTGTTTGTCTCCCTCCCCAGGATGCCTTGCTGCGGCTGGCGGCAGTTGTCGACGCACGTTCACTGCGAGTGGCCCTCCGAGACAGCATACAGGAGCTGCTACCCAGCACGGTATTCAAACACACACACACATACACATGCAAACTCTACATTTGCACAAACAGCTGAACATAATTGACATTTCCTTGATTTATTACCTGAAATAAAAGCTTCCCAATAGTATTCAGAGCAGTGGAGCTAAATGCCTCTGCCCTGACATACGGCCCGGGTCTTTGTTGTAAATGGAAGAGGCTCATCACTCATTAAATTAATTAGAATCTGATTAATGATACAAATGAATGTGCATGTGTGTTTCATTCCAGGAGTGTGTCTGCGTCTACATGCTGGAGGGACACTCGAGGCTGCTATCTGACGACCCGCCACATGAACTGCCACAGGAGGGAAAGATCAGGTGTGTACTTGTTGTGTGTGTGCAGCAAGCCACAGATGTTTCACAGTAGAGCAAGGGAGTGATGAAGAGGGGAAACGGAGGCTGTTTTCTCTGTGTGAAAAGCAGGTGTCACCTGTATGAATGTGAGCCGCTCAGCCCAAAATCACATCATCAACAGAGAGACAGGAGTCTCACAGAGAGAGATTTCATCATCAAGACAAATGAGGACCTTCCTCGTCTCTCTTATCTTCTCATTTTTACCACCTTTTACTTTCTTTTCCCCATCCCTCATCTCTATTGCTCTCATTAAAACTCTACCTTTATGTCACTTTTTCCTCTCTTAATGCACATCTTTCTCTGTCTCTCTGACGAACTCTTTCCCTCTCTTATCATTTGCCATTCCACCTTCTCACCTCACTGCATCAGTCAGTCGTTACTCTTTTTTTTTTCCAGCCCACACTCTCCCCCAAGGGGCCATGAAGCACTAAGCTGCCTGTGTTTCGGTCCCCACACCCCTCTCCCTCCCTGCCGCTCCTCTTTCTCTCTCACCTTCAATCCCTCTCCCAGCGGAAGCGTTGCAGGGCTAATAGCCGAGGTGACAGCGCCCGGGGTCCCTCAGCAAGACACGGTGATCCTCTCCTCTCTTAAGTGCTCTCTGAAGCTCTACAACCCTGTGTGCTGCTGCGACGGCTGCCCAGGCTCCAGCAAAAACCAACACTGCATTATAGATGAAACTGTCTGTTTGTCAGACAAGAACCCTTTTTCCAACACCTCATTGCCACACAAACACAGGATCACACACGAACATCCTTATGCTGACACAAACAAGACCACACGTATGCACACACACGCACAGACATACTCGCACACATGCAGGCGCGAGGTAGTGGGGATATTAAAAGAGCTACAGGGCACTTTGTTACTTCTCTCCCTCCAATTCACCTGCTTATATAAGCCTGTTATCAAGACCTTGGCATACACACACACACAAACAAGCACAAACACCCACAAACACCCACAGACACACTCAATGAACCCATCTGAGAGGCAGCAGGCCTCATTCCAGCCCACTTTCTAATACATACAAGCCCATTAACTGGACCTTGACCCCTACATACACACACTTACACACACACACATAAAAAAGCATAAGCAAGTTCAGCTAAGATAGCTTCCATTATCGTTTATCCTCTAAACCATTTGTTTTGTTCTGTAGAAGATAACTGACTTCTTATAGCCAAACAAGCTATTGTTAGAAATACTGCAAAAGGAATACACACAGTCCAAGGTCTAAGAGATACAGAAGACAGTAATACACAAACACAATGCAGTTGCACAACTTTTTTCCTATAATTAACCTTTTCAGTTATGGGTTACTTTTAGTTCCATCTAAAATAATACCCTTTTTGTAAGAAAAGCTATTCATATTGAATTTTATTTTGCTATTATATTTTATGGTTACATTTTGTGTGAGTAAAATGCACAAATGATCAAATGTATGGAAAAACACACAGCCTAATAAATGTTGCAGTAGAGCTCCTCCCGAGAGGAAGTATTTCACTCGCTGTTGACCACTTTGTTCTTGCTGTCACCCTCAAAACGTCATACAGAAAATAACACAATAAAATATGCATATATCTTGAGAAAGACATAATAATGCAGAATTGGTCTGAATCAGAATGAACTATTCCATTTTTTGTTTGCACATTAACACCCCATCAGCTGTTAGTCATTTCTTAATGATGCTTAAGCGGTTACAACAAATGGAGCTCATAGTGTAGCAGGAACATGAAGTCATTAGCATCACCCAGATCAATTAATCATCAGCTGATTTTTATGAGTGCCAACTACACACCGACACACACACATTTACTGTATCTGAGTGGTCTGTTTAAATGCCCATCTCACAGTCTTTGCTACTGCTTACTGTTATCACTGTAAACACCACACCAGCTTTGACGTATATGTCGATCTGAGCTACTGTTGCTGCTAACTGTTGTGTACCTTTACTTGACCTTAAAGCTATCTCCACACACCACTTACCAGATATGTAAACATACATTTTATTATCTAAAAGGTATGTCATATGTGCAGAGAAAACTAAATAACAGTGTTTTTCCTAACGACCCCGGGTGGGTTTTTTGCTCTTTGCTGTGCCCACTATAAACTGGGTTCATGGTTGTGCGGGAAAGCTGCTTTGAACAATGACATTACACAAAGGTCAGCTGTATTTGCTACAGTACTGTAGTAAACGACGATGAGAATGTTTTTTGACTGAAGTGGACTATTCCTCTGTGAGCTGAAATAAATGGACACTTTTAAATCAATGCACCATGCAGAGATTTGGCTGCAATGGTTCGAGGGGATTTCAGAATCTGTGAGCATGTAATGGAGTGACTGCTGTGTGTGTGTGTGTGTATGGCTTCTGGAGGGTTCAGTAGATTATTATGTGAGGCATATAGATTATGAATTTACCTGAGTGAAACTATTTTCCTTCTTTTTGTGCTTTATTACCATATTCATGTAAATCTGAGTATACATGCTTACTGAAGTGTGCAGTCACACAGATGTGTGTTTTGCGCATGTGTGTGCAAATGTATGTGTCTTTGTGTCCTTTGGCAGCAGTCAGTCCAGAATAAATAAATCCCTGTCTCATATTTTAGCATAAGAAAGCTGCCTTCTGTATTAAATATAAGACATACAGAGACCTTCACCATTATCACACCTGGCTCCCTCACACACACACACACATACATGGTTGTATTGAGTTCATATAATTTCAGAATGAATAATACTTCTATTCAGACATGTTTTGGTTAGTGTCAATGAATACAACGCATCTGTTTTTGCAATGCTGGTGATTGTTTTTCCATTTGCTCCGATTGTCATCCAAATCTCCTCTTCCTCTTTGTCGCCCCAGCGTCTGACACACTGTCTGTCCGTTTCTCACTCTGACTAATGTTCTGTAGGTAATTGTCTTTCTCTGTGTCAAACTCAACTTGTATCTGTCTGTCTTTCTCAGGAGTATCGCAGACCAGCTGAAGCGATGTCAGTGTGCCGGCCTTCCTGTGTCCGAGCTGCCAGAGAAATACAGAATCTGCCTTGCAGCACCGTTACCAGCACACAGAAGAGGTGTGTGTGCAGCGAGGGGGCTTGAACAATATTGGCGGACAGACAAATGGACCAACATCTGAGTTGTGTGTGTGTGCTTGTTTGAGGATGTGTGAGCGTGCGCCGGTGCATGCAGTGGAACAGAGAGATGTGAGAACGTGGGAGAATAAACAAACGAAAAGAGGTAGAGAGAGAAGTAGTGAACAAGAGATGATGATTGCCGAGGGAGAGGTATGGAGCCGCGTGGGCAGTAAAATTGTACAAGAGACCCCCCCCCCCCCNNCCCCAAAAAAAAAGACTGCATGATGTTACAGAGGTAAGCTTTAGCTTGGTGCCAATGTGGTAAACTCATTGTTCTGTTGGTTGTAGATCTCATTATTATCTTCAAAATTATTTTGTCCAGAAAGATCTCCTGTCGCTATCTGCGATGAGAATATCAAATGAAAGAGAGAAAAAAGAATAAACACTGTATGCAAGGGCATGAGGTTTGATTCTCTTCCACGTTCATTCCCCTGCATATTTCTATTAGTATAACAACACGAAGAACGAACAAATAAGATTAAAACGAGGACAAGGACATTAGAAAGAAAATTAAAGGAGAGTGATAAAAGGACCAAAAGTCTGTTTAGTCTGAGTCAATGCATTAGTTATTATAAATGCTTTTTTCTTTCTTTCTTTTAGCTGTTGTCGTTCCTATCTTGGACCAGGAGCGGGACAAGGCCATCGCTGTCTTACTGGTGAGTCCTTGAAATTAGGGAAATACAATATCATTTCAATTAATTGATAAACCAAAGTAACAAATGCAATTCACTAGATAACATCAACACAGCATCGTGGACTGAACTGGACTGAAATGTGTGTGTTTTGCAGGTGGGCTGTAATCCACTGTCTGATCAGGATGAATTGCATCTTAACGTGCTGGAAAAACATGTAAGCTCTCTCGTTTTCTGTCTATTTTTGTCATAAATGTGAAAAAACAACAACTTGGCAACAGTAGCTGACTTACTGGAAGAGTTGGCTCTTTATTTAACCAACACGTTTCGGCACAGAGCCTTCATCAGGGTGTTTTACGGAACGGGTAAAGCACAGCATATACTCTACAGGAAGGCATAATCTTTGTTAATTAATGAATCTAATGAGGACTAGGCACATAGATGGCTATAATACACAACAAAAGATTACATAAACAGCAAAAATCACAACAATCACAAAAGCAAAGATGGTATTTAAGTAGTAAACTGCAGTATGAAAACTTGAAAATTATGTTTTATTAATTATCTATGAATATTCCCTCAATTGTAAGTTTCTGAGATTTTAAATCTTGTGTTTCTCAAAAGAGTTAATATCATTACACCCTTAGTCCTCAACAGACCTTATCAATATCAATAAAAGAAAAATCCATCTTTGAGTGCTTGTTGAAGTGGCCTTTAAAGATAAGTGGCTACTGGATGTTTTATATGGTGATGCTTGCTTTAATGCTCTTTCCATTCATTTCGTTGGTTCTCTGAATGACCAGATGAAAGATAATAACATGACGTTAAACTGTTTATGTTTGGTCTGATGATGTGTGTTTATGTGCATGATGTACGCACAGGCCTCAGTGGCATGTGTACGAGTCCAGGCTGTTCAGACATCCTACCAGAGGCCTCCTCTCAGCCCCTCTCCCATGCAGTCCCACAATGCACTGCTTCACCTCAACGTCTCAGACCAGGACTACTGCGAACTGGACCGCAACATCCTGCAGCTCTGTGGTATGCACACAGACACACAGAAGGCGTATTGAATAACTCTTCTTAAATCTTCTTCACTCTGTCGCACACACATATACACCTTACATTTCCTACACCTCGTCAATACAAACACAAAAGTCTGAGGGAAACATAATTACACACACAAACACACACTGCTGTATGAGAGGTGAGGTATGTTAATAGAGTAAGCCCATCTGGATAAAAAGCTCTATGAATTTAGATGGGCTCTGTCTGTGGCACGAGGAATGTGTGACAGCTCCTGTGTGAAAACATAACGCTTTGCAAAAACACTGTTTAACATCTCATGCATAATGGAAGTGGACTGGCTAATACACACACATACATCAACATTGTTTACTCCTTGGTAATTGTCAAAAAGTATGAGTTGCTTTAGTCTCCTCAGTTTGTTCCAGCCTTTGCCGTGCCTTTCTACTTCTCTGTCCAGCTCTTTGCTTCTCTCTCTTCATCTGCAGTCTAGGCAGGCAACCCTCCATCCCTTGTCTTGTCTTCATTATTAGGCCCTCTGTTAGCTGGCTCCTGTTCACCCTTCCCCGACCTCGCTGTCTCCATGCATCCCTCCCTGGATTGCTTTCTGTCCACATGAGTACATGCTCTGCATTCCCTGTCTGTCCCTGCTCCTCTCTGGTTTTCACTCCCATCTCTCTCTCTCTCTC